ATTTTAAAATCTTAAATTTAAAAAGAAACATTTTTATGATTTTTTCAACTCAAATTATATTGTTAATTTTCGTGATTTTTCTGTATTTTGTCAAGATTTGAACTTTAAATGCTTATAAAAAAAACTGTGACTAAGGATTTTTAATAATTTTCTAATGTCATTGTAACAATATAGTTGGAGCCTTGTATTAAATGTCCAAGCTTTTTTACCCAACCAGTGAATATTTCAATTATATATGTATATGTTCATTTGTTTGGTCAAAAACCAAAATCGATTTTGTCGAAAACCGATTTCGGGTAAAAATTCCTGTTTTTCCTTAATTTTTATGTTGTTTTTCCTGGCGCTTATGAAACCTGTAGAGAATTTTAAAATTTGATTCAATACGACGTCTAGCTGTCATCTGACATTTGACTTTTGAGAATTGAATGAACATTGATCCAGTGATAACACACTATTTTGGCGGTAGAATGTTGATAGCAATATAATTTTACCATATTATACGTCTATTCTGTGCACGATTAAAGATATAATTTAAAAAAATATCTTTAATCGTGATTCTGTGATACTGCCATAATAAAATACAAAATTCTGTGGATAGTGGTTACCATAGATAATAATCTAACTATTTATGGGGGTTGTACGATATTTTAGAATATAGATAGGGTAATAATTTAAATGATAATGTCTAATACATGCACTAAAATAACTATTTTGTACCTCTTTATAAATTATATATTTCAATGATTTTCTGGTGGTGCAAAAACATACCTTTGCACCACTACATTTTAGATGTGGTGGTACAAGTGCTGCATTTGCACCACCCAGTTTACGCCACTGAATACAATACAATATATTTATAAAATAATACAATAACTCATTTAAATATTAAAAATAAATTAACAAATGTATTTTTATACACGTCTGTTAATACAATTTCTTGGATTTTTCTCCACCAACTTTGCGTTAAATGGAATCTGCATCCGATTACTTGTATTAATGGCCAAATCATTTTTGCCCTAGCATGAATAGATTCTTCAAAATCAGCCACAATTGTTGTCAGTTTTAAATTTAAATTTAATTCAGCACATTTAGTTTTTTAAAAACTAAATGCTAATTCATAAATATGTGTTGTTTTGTTAGGCAATAAAAAAAAACTAATGGAACATAATGTCCATTTATATTTACATGGATTGTAAAAAGTTGATAAAAAAACATATGACACGAAGAAAATGTACTATCAACAAATATTGTATTAGACGAGCTTAGAGCCTTCAGATTACTGTCTGTAGAAAAACACATCATATTGTTCACCAAATCTGTATGCATTAAAAATGATTCGCCTTCAACAGTTCTTATTTCCAGATTATTCATAGCTGCAATGACTTCAATAAGATTTTTCGGAAGCGAAGGTTAGTATTTAGTATTTCACGATTTATAATTTTTGAAGGACTTTCTGTTACATCCGTAAGTTTTCTCTTGAGTTGGTTTGAAAATAGTTTATTTTTAATACATTTATTGGCTGTTTTTCATGATTTTTATGGTCAATATCATATTTTAAAATTTCCATTAAGGATTCGTTAATGTATATTTTTGCGTTACACTTTTTACTAACACATTTCCACTTATACGCACAAATATTTCACAAAGTTTTTTTTAAAAAAATTTTCATTTTGATAAATAACTAAGTCAATTTCTCGTTCACCAGCTACGATTTCGAAATTCATTATTGCGAAGTATAATGACACGATGATAAATTGAGACTAACCAGATTAGCGTTGAACAATACTATTACCTAGTCGTTTTTCGCATCATTACGCGTATACAAGTTAGATTATCATCAATTAGCGATAAGGTTAAAATAAAATAAAACTAAAATGTTCGGGAAGATTATTTTTTCCCTGGCGGAATCGATAGGTCGTTTTTGGACTACCTGCACTGGCGGAATCGATAAATCTTATACCCAAGTATAAAAAGAATCGATGAAACCCCCGCAGCAGTACATTATCAGGTAGGCAATCTACCTGCGGTAGATCGCGGACCCCGTGCTGTTTGTACGGAAGTGTATGATTTAACTCTAAAGTATCAAAGTTATACCAAGTTTATTTTGATATAATACTGTGGATTAATATAACAAATTTGGTTGCTCGTAAAAAATCGCACTCTTAAAAAAATTATGATTGTTGAACTCCATTTGGGTGTAACTTGGGTGCTGCGGTAAGTGCAACTCAGCCACCCTGGTAGGCAATGTTCAATAATTCGATTTGATGCAAGCTTGTACCTGATCTGTCCGAATAACCAATGGCAACCAATAAATAAATGCTAATTTCTAATGTAGACTGTAACCAATGGCAACTAAAAATAAATAAAAATAAAATTTCCAATTTCTATCGTGAATCTCAATGTCCCTGTTTCAGCACCTATTTAAAATGCGAATTTTGGCAAATCCTTTCTTAGCGCACGTCTACATCATAATAACTATCTGTATGCCAAATTTCAGCCAGATCCGTCCAATGGTTTGAGCTTACTGTTTTATATATACAGATATGGTTGCCATGGTAATATGGACACACACACATACATTCGTTTTTATATATATAGATAATAAAAATTAAATAAAAATGATCAAATTTTATAATTTCTATTTTTATAACATAGTATCATGAAAAAGTTTAAAAATTACAAAGACAATTACAAAAACTGATAATTTTATGATAAAAGGATTCTGAACACCGAACATTGACGCCTGACGGTTGGTATTACATTTTACAAAATACATTTTTGTGGAATTAATTTAAAAAAAAAAAACAATTTTTACAAATTACGGAGACCTGGGGCCCCCAGAAACTGGTGGCCAAGTGCAAGTGCTCCATCTGCACTTGCTTAAATCAGGGTCTGCTGGCCATAGTATTATTACCTTTATTATTACCTAAGCCCCCCCCCTAATTTGCGCCTATTTTTATAAACTCAAACACTATATTATTAGGTACGTAGTATTGTATTAGTGATGGTATTAGTAATATACTTTAAACAAATTTGTACAAACCAAATGTCAATATAATATTATTATGAAATACTACACTTAAAATGATATCAATATAGCAATAATTGTATATGCTTAGGGTTAGGGATTACAAATTAATAATAAATTAATAGCCTACTTTATACATACATTTTAAATCAAAACTTACATTCTATCATTCTATGATAAAGACTAACTTAAAAATGAAAAGTGTAATTTACTATATACTCATTGGCACATAAAGACATAATTAATAATTATACTGATTTAAATGAGGTACATACAACTGCACAGTGGCTGGGCCAGGGGAGGGGCTGATGGGCCTGTAGCCCCCCCCCCCCCCTCCCTCTGAATTGTTAAATATTATTTTTATGGTCTATGATAGTTGCTCAAAAAGTCTTGCATTATATTTAAAATATTTAAAAATGTACCTATAAGTATTAACACTTTTCAGCTATCTATCTGTGGTAGTGCTTATTTAATGTATAAAAGTGTAAAAGTTGACCAGCCCAAATTGAACATATATAATATTATGTTAACTCATTGAGGGACAGGCACTACCCATGAAGTAAAACCCTTCAGGGGCAGTTAATGTTACCATAACATTTTTAAGTTTTTTTTGTAAAAACTGTTTCTTATTAACTACCTAAAGTCAAAACTATAAAAAAAATAATTTTAAGTTTAAGTTTAAGAATTTTCCAGGAAAAGTCTGGGAAAAGGTGGTTATCTGTACTAACCACCGCCAAAAATGTTCAACGAATTTGTATAACATACATCATAATATTATACTCTAAAAACTAATAAATTCTTTCATATTATTATATTATTAATAACACATATTTTATATCACAGATTTATATATTATAATATTAATCAAGTATAACAAAACATTTCTTTTGTTATAACTAGTTATAAGAATTTTACCTACATTTGCTTACTAGATAACACAATATGTTTTAAACTTTCTGATTTACCTACATAACATATTTTAAAACTAATAATTTTTCTTATCACATTAAATACGTAAGTCTTTTAAGTCTCTTACATAAAGAGTAATACAATTTTTTACTTACATTTTCTTATTTAAAAATAAAATAATTAAACTGTTGTTGCGAACCAAATGTGGAGTTCGGTTGACAAGGTCGAATCAAATGAAGTAACACGTAGTCAAATTAATTATTATTATAAATTTATTGACCATAGGTTAGTGGTTAATACTTTTTAAGCACTCAGAGTAATGTTACAATTTAAGACAAATATCTCTAGCATGAATACTGTCAACTAGTCGTCACGCAGAAATAGTGTGTCTGGTCTCCCTGCTGGGGAGCCTTTATATAGTAGACAACAGTCAGATTACATGGTCCTTTAGAAGGTCCCACTTAAGTATTCGCTATGGCTTCTCTAGTACTTTAGAAACTAACTTTTCCTTGTGGCACTCGTTAATAGTAATTAATATATTGTGCCACGTACACCATGCGTAATACTGTAGTAATAATATTATATTCTTGTGTGGTCCTAGCTTTGGCTATTGCAACACTGTCTGGTTTACATAACACATTTTAAAGGTACATACATAACAAATAGGTAACTTACTGGTTTTTTTAGTGAAACACACTGCGCATCGATGACTAGTATGTACAAAAGGTTTCTGATTGCTTATTTCATTATTGAGTGATCTTGTTTTATTAGGAAGTTGCGAACGAACTCCAATAATTTTAGCTGCTAATAGACCACGATAAACTTCTCGACGAAAGTTCTTATAGTTTAATTTTTTTTCTCCATCATTTTTTGGTAGTTCTTTGTGTATAATGAAAACATTTGTGACACAACAATCAAGCATATGAAAAAAAATTCTCATATACCATTTCCGGCTTTTCCGATCACACTGATCATTTTTCTTCAACCTGTCAAAATTATCCACAAAATTCATGTTTGCATTATAATCTTTTAGCACTGTTGGACATGGAACTTTAGTTAAACTTCAAGTTTTTTCTTTTCTGTTTACACTTATTGTATCACTAGGCGAATGGAGAGATGAAAGGAGATGTACTGATTTACGATCCTTCCATTTGATCATGGCCACCCCGCTATTTCTAGTTGCCCAGTCAAAATCTCCTCCCTGTAACTTTTTATCATTTGCGAAAGTTGGAAGATATTTTCGGTTGAATCTGACCGTTCTACTGGCATAAATATTTTTTTCTAGAAGTTGTTCATTAAGGATGTTACTCGAAAAGAAATTATCCATATAAACGACATGATTTTTATGTTCAAGACCTTCACACAAATCAAGTATAACTCTAACACCAAGACCCAATTCAACAGAATTTTCACATTTCCCTGTATATACTTGAAATTTTAGGTTATATCCAGATTTGTCACATAGCATCCATATTTCATAGCCCCTTTTAATTGATTTGTCTTTCATTAACTGCTTTAGTGAACTTCTACCTTTAAATTTCACCATTTCCTCGTCGATAGCTACTTCCCTTTGGGGCTTATATAATTAATTAATGTTTTCTCCAATATAGTTTAGAATTGGTCGAATTTTATAAAGTTTGTCTTAATTTGACTGCCCTAACTTTTGCTGTACTTGATTGTTATTAAAATGAATGTCATTGAGTAACCAACTGAAGCGCTTAACAGACATCAAATTTGAAATATAAACATTATGCAAATCAGAAGCACTTGAAAAATAGTCATGATAACTGGGGAGGCGATTAATACCCATGTACAAATGCAATATATTTCAGTTACTGATTCAACAGTTGATATAAAACTGCAAGCATTATTAGATCACACAGCTTTACTCCATATGCAAACTCAACATGAACTGATGAAAGACAAGAAAATTTGCAAAGATTATGTTTAATTACTAAGTGGGGGTTTGACGGATCGTCTGGTCATTGAGAATATAAACAAAAGTTTATAAATAGTTCCACTAATGATGCAAGTATTTTTTTGTCTTCACTAGTACCTCTAAGGCTCATATTTGCTGTTCCTGATTTACCAACACAACAACAAATTGTGCTTTGGAATAATTTGAGGTCTTCATCAACAAGATATTGTCGTACTATTAGATACCAATTTGCTCATGAGACAACGGACCTTGCTAAAAAAAAGAAAGACTATATAGAAAGTCAAATATCTGAATTAGTACCCACATTATACGAAATAGATGGCCGAATAATTGAAATTTACCACAAATTATTATTTACAATGGTTGATGGTAAAATATGCAATTTATTGACGGAAACAACTTCAACCATGAGATGTTTTTTTTATGTAATTTAACATCGAAAGACTTCAATAATATTTAAAAGTGCAAAGCATAAATAGTATACGAGTCTGCATTAGAATTTGGTATGTCAACGCTACACGCTTGGATACGTTTCTTCGAATGTCTACTACACGTAGCGTACAAATTAACCATTAAAAACATGGCAAGTTCGTGATGTAGAAAACAAAAAAGTCGTCGAAACCACCAAAAATGAAATAAGAGAAAAATTTAAAAAACAACTTGGATTAATAGTTGATAAACCAAAACCTGGGTATGGAAATAGTAATGACGGAAATACGGCTAGACGTTTTTTCGAAAATGCATATGTATCAAGCAGTATAACTGGAGTAGATATAGTGATAATCAAAAGATTTCGAACTATTTTGAAAACTGCTAGCGGTTATATAATAAATCTAAAACTGTTTGAAGAATATACAATGACACAATTACTTGTAGAAAAATATCCCTGGTATGATATGTCACCTACTATAAACAAAGTACTAATTCATGGACCAACTATAATAGAAAAAGCAGTAGTATATATTTGTATGTTCACAGCCAGCTTTTGCACTGTAAAAAAATTGTTCAAGCGGAAATGTTCCGCTTGAAGCACTTCGATTTACCGCGTAACACAATACAGAGATTTCACACTGATTGTATACCAAATTTCGTCTCACACAAAAATATTTGTCATTTACTAAATTTTTTGGTAAATCTTAAAACTGAATAATTATTTCAACTAAAAGAACACAAATTATTAAATCATAGTTTTTTTTTATTGTTATAAATAAATTCTTAATTATATTTACACAAGCTTTCTTGCTTCTCTAGTAAAAGGTACATATTCTACAATACGATCATGAATTAATAAACAGTAATATTTCCAATTGAACATCTACTGCTGAGGCTGTGGCTGAATCGTTCTATTTTGAAGTATCGATGACTATAATTGGGGCATTTTTTAGAAAAGTAGAAGGACTCAATATCGAGTTACGAATACTTTTTCCATAGTACGGTTCTTAAAACGATGTATACCTACATATTATATAATAAAGTGAAATTATTTTTAGTAAAATCTAAATTTAAATTATCATATGGATAATCTATCGAGTTCAGAAATACTTTAACGTTTGTTAAATTACAATTGTCAAATATAATACAATTTTTCGTTAACAAATTTGTACAGCCTTTTTGTAATCCAATTATGATAAATCGTGGTTTTTCTAATTTTGAAGCAGTTTTCAAATTCCATACAACTTTTTTAGTGGTTCCGAATTCAGGATATTCAAAAGTTTCAAAAGATCTAAAAGGGATAAATAGACTTTATTCTTTTTGTATAAGTTTCAATAATTTTAACCTTTCTTCATCGTCAACAGTGATATGTGGGACCTTCCAGACTATTTTGTTTACAACGACTTCCCCTTCTGTAGCAGTTGCACCACTTTTAACTTGTAAAGCATTTAAATCGTTATGACTTCGAGACTCGAGTTAATATTAATTCCAATCTAGAATTCACTAAAATTTTTTTATAGTCTTAAAACAAACCTAACCAATATTCCAATGGAATGCAAGCACTAAATTCATCTTTGTCATTTTCCGATTGCGTTGCGTTTTTAAAATTCCACCCAGCATTTTAATAGCAATTATAGTTGTCTGGCGTACCAGATAACTAGATAAGTGTCCTTTCAATGAGCTATTGATTCCAAGAACACGTGTACTATCTTCTTCTATCCCATTGATTTCCAATCGTATTTGTTCTAAGAGGTAAGAGTAACCGTTATTAGATAGTTTCACTTTGGTATCATCAGTAATTGTTCCTTCCAAAAAAATAAAGATGTCGTTTAGATATGGATAAACATCCGTCTGCTGGATTGATATACGTATTTCATCATTATTATTAAATTATGTTGTATACGGTGCGTATGAATGATATTCAATTTTCGTAATTTTTGAATCCGTCTCGTACTGTAAAGTTATATCCAAAATATCACTTTCAGGCATTCTGATTTAATTGGTAACCCAGAGCTTGTAAAATATTTTTATTTTTCACCGTCAACTTACGACTAGTTGGACTAATCCGAAGTAGTGGGCTTATATTGCATTTTAATCCCATCTCAAGATCCGTAACGTTTAATATGTAACACAATTGTCAATGTCCCACCGAAATTGTCAGTTGGATTATGATCTTGATCAACTAACTGAACGGTTATCGTATCAATATTTGTTTTATTCAATTTGCAATACATTAAATTTGGTGGTGAGTGCACTACTTTCGATCCTGACCTTTCGCTCGGGAAAAACTCATAAATCGAATGACTTTGAAGATGGTTGTTGAATGATCCTTGAGCTAATCCCTTTACGCTTGTGATTAAACCAATGGATAGCTTTAAAAAAGCATTAGAAGTATGTCTATAAAATTATGTTTACACATTTTGAATTTTTTAATATTATTATAAATATTTAAAATTTATTTTTTATTAATATTATTAGACTTTAAATAATTGTGCTAAACATGAATAACATAAACCAGCTCTAGAAAAAGCTGATTATTTTTTGAATACTGCATCTTCAAAGGAACCTGAGATTATAAACAAATTAAACATAGACAGGTGAATCTGTAAATATTATTAATATTAATATATTATTTAATATTAATAAAATTAATATTAAATTATACACTAACTTAGTTTATGTTTAGTTTTAAGATATTAATGAATAATGATCATAAATTATACTAAATTTTTTATAATTCCAGAGCCAAAAAAATTAAAGAAAAATGAGGGAATTTAATTAACATAATTGATTGTATTTTGGTATGTGGTCGCCAAGAGATTGCTTTAAGGGGTCATAGGGACTTTGGTGCTTTTTCATTTGATGGTAAGTTTTTTTTAAACTCTATTGAAGTAATATAATACTATTATCTCAGATATGTTTAATCTATTATATATTTTGGATACAATTTTATTTTAGTTAAGGAATGATTTTTTTTAATAAGAACCATATCCCAAAGCCCCAAACCGGTACTTACAGGGCCATTATTTTTCTAGGTGAGCCTGATTTGAATGAAGGGAACTTTAGAGCTATTCTAAAATTTAAAGCGAAAGACATAGACCATTTAAAAAACTTTCTGTCATCAAACTATTGAAATAAGTATCTCAGCCCATCTATTCAAAATGAAATCATAAGCACTTGTGGTAATATCATTTTAAAAAAAGTTGTTAAAGAAGTTAACGAGTCATGCTATTTTAGTGTTCTTGCAGATGAGACAACAGATATTTCTGTTGTAAAACAACTTACTATTTGTGTTAGATATCTTGTTGATGGTGGAAAAGAAAAGTATGAAAGTATGAAGTTCATGAAAGTATTTTAAAAATTACAGAAGTTTCAAGTTTAACGGGTGAAAACTTAGCTTCAGCAATTTTAAATGGTAATTAATATGTTACATAAAAATAGAGTTATTATTTTACAAATCAGTTATTTATTAAATTATCTATTTGCATTGTTTAATTGTTTAAGGCTTGAATTCATGTAGTATTAACTGTGACAATATTTGTGGACAAGGGTATGATGGCACTTCAAATATGTCAGGTCACATAAAAGGCGTTCAAACATTAATAAGAAATAAGTACCCAAAAGCTTTATATGTGCATTGTGTCGCACATACTTTGAATTTAGCTGTGTCATCCGCCTGAAATATTCAACCTGTACGAAATTGCTTAGGAACTATTCAAAAATGTATTGTTTTTTTAATTCCCCAAAGCGTCATCAAGTGATTTTAACAGCAATAAGTGAAAGCGACTTGGATCCAAAAGTTAAGACATTGAAGCGCCTATGTGCAACAAGATGGATCCAGCGATATGATGCAATTAATGATTTTATTGAATTATTTCCATATGTAGTTATTTCACTTGAAAAAATATTAGAATGGAATGATTTATCTTCAGTAGATGCTAATATTTTATTAAAGTCAAGGGATTCAAAATTTTTAATATCTCTACAAGTCATAAAAGTAATTATTTATTTGCATTTTTTCTAACAATTAACAAATAATTTTAAAATATAAATTTATAATTTATAATTTAATAATATATTTATCAGTTATTTTTTGTTTTAGGTTCTATATTTTCTTATGGTTTGCCACTATGCAAACAACTTCAACAAATACAAATAGAATTAAGAGAAGCGGTTGAGTTAGCTAGTGACAATGTGAAAGCTCTAAAAAATCTAAGAGAAAATATAGAAGTTGAATTTCGTAAGATATTTGAAAATGCCAAAGTAACTATCTTATAAAATTAAATTTTAACCCTCTATATTATCTTTCTTTCATTAAGTCAATACATTGTTTGGTTTTACATTTTATTAGAGTATGACAGATTTGTTGGATAAAACCATTTATGTTGATCGTTTGAATAAGAGGTAAAAACATAGAGATAATCCATTAACAAATGAAAATGGTTCCTTAGATCCTGAGGCCTATTATCGAGTAACCATTTGCATTCCATTCATTGATAGTTTTATAACCCAATTGAACGACAGGTTTTTAGATCATAGAAATGTTTTTTGTGGTTAGTTAAATATCAACTGTTGAATATAATTTAATATTGTATAAAGGATCATCATATTGTGCAACAACAACATCGTTGCTATTAATAATGTGCAAAATCACGCCATATATTTATTATTATATGTTACATGTTGTGATAATTTTTTTGCGTCTTGTTTCACATATAACTTTATTGTTTTTACGCTTATATTAAAAGTTTTTTGTTCATTGTTCTTTGATTTTGCCTGTTCTCATATATGAGTGGTTGCGTGCTCTTACGTTCTTTTACAACTTAAATATTATGTTCTTACTTTTCTACCTATGCGGCTGTACGTAAGTGTTTATCCCATTATCATTCTTATAAAACGATTCATATTATTACGGTCAGCTGTTTAATTGGTGACTGTATAACAGTTTGTTCATTCTTCTTCTCTGCTGTGACGTCACTAAACTGGGCCTACCTTCACATCTACATCTTAGTACATCTTAGGTTGCATCACCTTACTCTCGAGGAGTTTCTAATATTTGACCATATTGCTCTTACTATGAATCCTACTGCGCAAAAATTATCGCCAAAAAAAGTTGTGACCAGATCAGTGTCGTCCGCCTCTACTAAGTCTCTTAACTCACCAAATTTTTCTTCTTCTCTGCTATCGACCGATGAATTCAACATGTCTAGTATCAAAAATGCTCAAGAGGAGACTTTATCACATTGTAAAGTTCTTCTTTCTTCCCAGAATAAAGAATTCGGTAAGCTTAAATCGAGTGTTGACCAGTTATTTTCTATAATTAGCGAATTGAGGTCTGAAAACAATCTTCTTCGTGAGGATCTATCATCTCTAAAAAATCGTGTTATTAATCTTGAATCAAATCAATCAATCAATTCTCCTGAATTTTCAGACTGTGATACTATGCCTCAACTCTTGCATGAGCTAACTGAACGTGATAAATGTTCATATAGTTTAATTGTACACGGACTTCCTGAATCTACGGCTTCTTTAGCAAATACCAGAATAGCCGATGATTTAAAAAGTCTATCGGATACTGCCCAACTATTAACGTTATCTCTTTCTCCAGATGTCAAATTATTTAGGCTCGGTGGTGGTGGCAGCAATAAAGTGAGGCCGTTAAAAGTCATTTTTTCTTCTAAAGAGCTTGCTTCTACTTTTAATAGTGAGTTCAATGTTGGTAAGCGTAATGCTAGAGCTCATTCTATTTCTATTGCTGTTGTTCGTGATCGTACTCTACTGGAAAGAAAACATATACGTCGTGTTTATACTGAACTTGAGGAACGTAAAAAGAACGCTGAATCCAATATTATGGTCAAATACAGGAATGGAATACCTTCTATTGCTCCAGTTACTAATAGGTCTGTTTCCAAGACTAATGCTACCTCATCTGATGTCACAAAAAGTAACTGACTATCCGAATCTCCATTTATTTCTACAGACTGCCAACATTCATCTCTTAACGCTGACCCTTCATGCTTCATGTGTTGCCAAGCTTCTTCCACTATTGATTACGGTTTTGAATTTATTAATAATCATAAAAATAAAAAATGTGTTGTAAATATACCTATTGTTAATACTCAATCTACTCTTAATGGTTACTACCAAAATTGTTGTGGTCTACGAACCAAATTATCAACCCTTAAATGTAATAAAGCTAGTAATAATTTTGTATTTATAATCTTAACTGAAACTTGGCTTAATCCGGATATTTATGATCCTGAATTAGGTTTTGATAATTATATTATTTATAGATGTGACAGAAATAGCTTAACCAGTTCCTGTTCAAGAGGTGGTGGAGTACTTATTGCAATACACATAGATTTCCCCTCAAAACTTATTCCTATTAGCTGTAACAATATTGAACACCTGTTTATTAGCTTTAGTATCAATAATGAACCTTTTATAGTTGGTGGTGTTTATTTTCCTCCTAGTTCTCCTGATATATCATATTCGAATTATACTAGTACAATAGAAGACTTGATTAACTCGTTTGTAAATGCAAACTTTATCCTCTGTGGTGACTTGAAACTGCCTAATATTTATTGGTCTAATGACAGTCAAGGTCTAGTATATTCCAAAATTTCTCGTCCACGTCCTTATGTGCAATGTGTCCCTGAAACCTTTGCATTTCTGAATTTTTTTCAGCTCAATAATGTCTTTAATACTCATGGTACTTTGTTAAATTTAATTTTTGTTAATAGTAATCATATAAAAATTAATAGTTTTTCTGATCCATTAGTTCCGGAAGATAAATATCACCCATCTCTGTCTATTGACATTATTTCAACTTCTAATCTACCTTCTTCTAATACATCGAAATCGTGTTTTAATTTTCATAAAGCAGATTACTTATGTATCAAAGAATTTTTAAGCTCTTTTGATTTTAGAGAAACTTTTATTAATCTTGATGCTAACTTTGCTATGTTTACCTTTTATGATGCTTTACATTTTTCTGTTCTGAAATGAGTTCCTCATGTTAATTACACTAAGTCTAATTTTCCTTCTTGGTTTTCCAAGGACTTAACTGATTTTGTTTTCTTGAAGAGAAGAGCCCATGTAATCTTTAAGTCTTCTCGGAACTCTCTCGACTATCGTGATTTTTCTTTGCTTCGTGCTAAGTATAAACTAATGTCAAAAAACTGTTATAAAAAGTTTATTGAACTTACTGAATCTCAACTCTGTGCTAATCCCAAAGTATTTTGGAAATTCATAAAGAAAAATAAATCAAGCAATGACATACCTAAAACAGTTCATTTTAATGATTTAACTAGCACTAATGATAAAGAAGTTTTGGGTTTATTCGCTAAGCCGTTTAGTTCTGTTTACACTGAACACAGTGTTAATCATAATTCAACTATCCCACATTTATTTTATGATTTACCTAGTAATGGCTTTTTTGATTCATCTTTTATTGAATCAGGTTTATCTAAATTGAGCGGTGACAAGTCAATTGGTCCCGATGGACTTTCTGGTGAATGTTTGTATATGTTAAAATCAGTATTATCCTACCCATTGTCACTTTTGTTTCGCAAATCCTTAGATGAAGGAATATATCCTGATATTTTAAAACTTAGCACTGTAAACCTATTTATAAATCGGGGGATAAGTCAAATGTTGCAAACTATCGTCCAATCTCCTTATTAGGACATATTGCTAAATTATTTGACTCATTAGTCTTAAAATCAATTGGTCCTGCAGTCAGTTCAATCCTATCGATGAACAACACGGTTTCCGTCCTGGCCGGTCAACTAACACTTGTAACATTGTCTTTTCTAGCTATGTATCCGATGCATTTAACAATCGTTCACAGGTTGATATTATATATATGGATTTTTCCAAAGCTTTTGGTCGAGTTGATCATACTTTGCTAATTCATTGATGCTCGGTACAAACAACATAAGTCAAAAATGTCTAGTTTTTAGGAGAAGCAATTTAAAGTTTGAAAAATGTTGTCAAATCGTGAGTGAATTAATGATTTACTTTATGTGGTTAAATATGATACTTGTGTGACTAATTATTTATCTGTATGGTATCCAATGAAATTTACTTAAAATTTAAGGATTTTTTATGACCTAAGACAATAATATCTGACTACTACCATGACTTAATTAAGACCACACTATTACCGATTGTTGTTATTACTGTCTTGGCATTCAACTTACTAAAATATTGGAATGGCATCCTCAAACATTATTAAAAAATAAAAATATATACACATACAGTTATAAAAAAAATATCACTGTATATATTTCAAAAAAAAATGTTTTTACTTTTATCAAAAATATGTCAACAAATTATAATTAAATTAACATAACATTTTCAATATAACAAAATAAAATAAATTAGTGCTTTAACTAATAGAATAATAATATACTGTATTATTATTATGTATAATAATAAAAAGAACATTTTAAAATAAAAATTACCAAACTTATTTATAATAATATTATAATATGAAACAATTAATTTTAACAAAACAAAATAAAAAATGATCTCAGTCTGAGAATTACATTTTAGTAAGTGATGACTTATTATCAGCATTCAGTAATATCTTATTGTTTTATATTTTATTCTCCATCAATACTAACTTCATCGAGATCCGGATCGTTATCTTGAGTATCATTTGTTGTTTTCAACTCATGATAGAATTGATAAAATATTGGTGGTATTAGGGGTAGCAGATATCTAGTAAATCTTTCTTTTTTTCTTTTAATATTGATAAAGGTCCATTGTATTTTTTTTACTTGTAATATAGTACCACTATTTCCTCTGCGAAGAAAACTTAAGGTCTTAAATGGTGCATTTTCCTCAAGAGTAGTTTTATAATTTAAAACACCTTTCCCTGTTTTTGTATATTGCAACCAAGATACTGGTTGCCATTTAAATTGTTCTCTATCTGTATTTAATTTATGAACCATTAAAGGAACTTTAAGTAAATTAGAAAAATCAAAAAAATCAGTTTCACTCATTTCTACTACTTGAAACTTGCTTACTTTTCCTGTTCTTCTTACAAGTTGATACCAATCGTGGGGATGGTAAATAGGAGTATTTGATTTCTTTTTTGATTTTTCTATCATTGAGTGATAGTTGAATAATAGTTGTGTAGATTTTCAAATGTACTTTTTGTTCCAGAAAATTCAGTTTGATAACCTATATTAGTATATTATTTTAATAGTGAGTTTTATTATTACATTCACAATTAAATATTATTAACCATTCAATAATAATAAATTATAATATTATGTTGATTTTTATTAAATTTATAAAATATATTAATGTATTAAAATATACTTACTTGGAGGTTCAGAACTTGGTTTTTTGTCATTGTGATTTGACACTAAGTTCAGGAGTTTTTTGGCTCTAGTCGTCATTATTGTTTAAAACACAAGGTAACAAAATATAAGATAAAAAACAGTATAACTTTCGTAGGTAGAAGGTACAAATTAAAAATTGTGTACTTTTAGTCATATCATGTTTTTAATTATTACATGATACATATTAAAATGATTAGAAGCTATACAGGGTGATTCTTTTATCAAACAACACTCATTATTTGAAAAAGTATTGACTTTTTTAAAATTTTTTTTTTCAAAATTGTAGATTTATGCTGTTCTAGAATTGTATATTTTTTTATATTTTTCACCCTTATATTTAATAGGTAAACCACTATCAACTTTTGATTTTCAAATGGTAACCTATACTAAAAATTTCATAATTGAATAAAACTATTTTTTTCATTAATTATTACGTTCAAATTTTCATTTTTCGTTAATCCGTTGATGAGATATTGCTCCTCAAAGTTAGGTGGATTTTGGAGATAGTTATAGTGTGTAAATGTGTTATACCTCGTCAGTAGATACCTAACCTATCAGGATTTTTATGTCCCGGGGCAAAAGATATCACACTTTTCAAATCAACTCAAGTTGTGGGTACAGTAAGCTTAAGTTGTGCCCCTAAATGTATTTTATAATACCCATTTGACTGGGTGGCATGTAGTTCGCCCCACTGAATGTGATCTCGCCACTGGTCATAATAATACTTATCTAATATAAAGACCAGAAGTTAAAAGTAATAAATTTGATATCATTCGAACCCAAGATATATGTATACAATAGTGATAACTAATATTCATTGTACCTACTCGCTACAATTAACTTATTGTCATGATGTCATATTTTAAGTAATCGGACCATTAGTGTCACTCGTGGTGGCATACCTATAGTCTGTCCCACGAGAGAATAATCACTTTTCGCGCATCACGACTGACGGCTTCAGCGACGCCGAACCCCAATTTCCCCTTCCAAGCGTCCATACGAACACTGCGACAACGCCCGAGGCCGAAGTCGTGAGTAGGAAACAACCGATACCCCTTCTTTCAAAGTTCACGCGCGCAGTGCGCATACACCAGTCACCTGTGGGCTGTGACCTGTCGGCAGTCGCCCGACGGCGTAAGTACGCTACGCTTGTGGTTGGCAACTGTATTTCATATAAATTAATAATTATCTCGGAATGCTGACATTATTATTTTTTATCGAAATTAATTTGTTAAGTATAATATAATAATCATAATATTATAAACATAAAAAAAGTTCATGAAATGTACATTTTATTTTGACTAAAAACATTAATAAATCAATCAACTTATCATCTTAAATACAAAATTAAATACATTTTAATCACGTCATACATAATTTTGACTATAAAATATTATTAGATAAATACAAAAATAATATAGAATAAAAATAAATTATACCTAACAATAAAAAAAAAATATTTTTTAGTCATAAATAGTTATGGACAAATTATTTTTTAAATATAATTTAATCGGTGTCTGAATTGTCTGATAAATATCTAAAGTCTTCATCGTCGTCTGATTTTTCATCCGTGTCGTTTTCGCTATTGCCTACGGTTAGAACGCATGGTTGGTTCTCTGCAGTCATAACGTCATCGACCACGTTATCCAATTCCCAAGCTTTTTCTTCCTCCTTTTTCACGTGTCGAATAAAGTTTTTCCACATATCACCATCAATTTTGTTCACCCCTTCTTCAAGTAATTTTTTGACATCTGGTAGTTTAAATGTTTTGTTGTTGTCTCTCACATATCTTTTCACTGCAGCCCATGCAAGCTCAATAGGGTTAAGCTCACAGTGGTAAGGAGGTAATCTGAGGACAATTTTATTATTAGCTTTGACCATCTCATCGATAACATACTTATTGTACAATGGTTTGATTTTCTTGACAACCTCTAACAACTCTAAAATGTTCATTGTTTTGTCGACTACCTCTCCTTTGTTTTGGAGCCACTCAATTATGTTAGCTTTTCTCCAGCTTGTTGTTGGGCATTTCTCCGTTTTTACCGAGTGGTAAGGAGCGTTGTCCATCACGATAACAGCGTTTTCTTTAAGTCCGGGCAAAACACCTTGCAACCAATCACGAAAAGAGTCTCCGTTCATCTCATCGTGATAGTCTCGAGTATTTTTTTTTGACTCAAAGCTCAAAAGTCCTCCATGTACAAATCCATCTTCGGAACCGATGTGACAAACAATTAAGCGTTTTCCCTTGCCAGTTGGATTTACTGCACCAGTTGAAAGTCCCGCAGACGAAGCCATTCTAGCTGTTAAAACGCTCTTATCAACCCATATTTTACTATTGACATCTCCGGCGTTCACCCATGTTTCGTCCAAGTAGTAAATTGGTCGACCTTCTTCGCGATATCGCTTGATGTCTCTTAAATAGTTTCTCCGCCACAGAATAATATCTTCTCTTTCAAGCAAAGCAGTATTACGACCTCGCTTAGTGAATACAAAATCCATTGATTTCAACAATCGATGCAATGATGATCGAGAAATATTTGGTAGATTGGCTTCTTCATTGACTGCTACTAGAACCTTGTTTAACGTAGGCATTTCACGATTGTGCCAAAATTGATGAACTTTTCTCCTAATGGCATATTTGTCAAATTCATCTACTTTATCATATATTTTGACCCTATTTTTGGTTTTATTTGGCGAAGAAACGGTTTTATTTCTTTGGTACTCCAATACCGTATTATAAATTGTTGACTGTCCGATTCCAAGTTGTGCAGCAAGTATTTTTTTTAGATGAAGCATTTTGTATTCAGGATTTTCAATCATTTTCGCTTTATACGCATTGATGATCATTAATCTTTGACTTGAAGAAACAAACTGAAAAAAAAAGTGGGTAAGTGGATGTTGATCTTGACAAGATACTGTTGAAGAAAATCGAAGCAGTTTTACTGCCCCAAACCGTGGTGACAGACACAAAAATAAAAAAATAAAATAAAAAAACACACATCATTGTAAAATCAATACATTCATCGTTCCACTCAGAATATAAAATAAAAATTTTGAATACAATGTTATCATCGATTAAGCAATAGGTATAGAGAAATTATTATAAATCGAGTCAATTTCAATTGAATTGGCTATATAGTCAATTATACAATTTTCAATTATTTTCTATAAGTAAATGATAACATTTTCAATTTTTTTTAGATTCTGAGCGAAGTGATGAATGTATTGATTTTACAATGATGTGTGTTTATTTTTTTATTTTTTATTTTTATTTTTTTTTGTGTCTGTCATCACGTTTTAGGACAGTAAAAATGCTTGGATTTTCTTCAACAGTATCTTTTCTGATAGGAAAGTGAATCTAGTTGGTACTTTGGGGGGTCAAAAGTAAAAATTTCCCAGTAGTTTTCAAAAGCGCCGGGTAAAACAACATAAAAATTAAGGAAAAACGGGAATTTTTACGCAAAATCGGTTTTCCGACAAAATCAAATTTGGTGTTGGATGTAACTTTAAAGTGAATGATAGTAGATACATGAAATTTTAACTGGTTGTTTATATGAGCATTTTCTATACAAGATGACATTTTCAAAATATTTTGATTTGTTTTGAACTGTATGCGGACATAAGCAATTTTCGATTTTTTTTAGTTTTTGTTTCTATAAATGTCAATTAAAATTTATTTGTTGGGTACAAATGCTTGAAAATTTAATACAAAGCTCCTAATATATTGTTTCAGAGGCAGATGAAAAATATTAAAAATCCTTAGTCACAATTTTTTTTATAAGCGTTTAAAGTTCAAATTTTGACAAAATACGGAAAAAACACGAAAATTAGCAAATTATTTTGAGTTAAGAATTCATAAAAATTTTTCTTTTTAAATGATAAAAATGTATAAAATGTTCAATTTTTTTAGCTAAGGATTAAAAATTTAAAACAAGGTTCCACGTAAATAGGTTAAATATAAATCACAATAATATCATCAAATATACTTAGTTATATAAATATATCATAGGCTGACTGACCGTCTTTGCTCAGAATCGTTTTTCTTATACAATGATATTATATCATTGAATTCAAATTTAATACCATCCATTATACAGTGACAGACTTGTAACCTACTGTACAGCAGAGCGACATCTACTTGCCCACCTTTTTTATATTAATGTCAATATAATTATTTTTGTTTAGTCAAAAGGCTAATAATGTAAAAAAAATGGTTTATAGAAAATTCTAATATTAATAAAATATTAATTTAATTTTTATCAATTTCTAACTCAAAATAATTTGCACATTTTCGTGATTTTTACGTATTTTGTTAATATTTAAACTTTAAATGATCATAATAAAAACCGTGACTACGGATTTTTAATATTTTTCATATATCATTGTATCAATATATTAGGAGCCTTGTATTAAATTTTTAGGCTTTTTTACCCAAAAAATACAATTTTATAGACATTCATAGAAAAACGCATTTACGCTGAATTTTTTTTATTGGTTTTGAATAATTTTATAATAAAATCACCTATTACAAAATGTATAGTGGATAATATTTTTGAGCCTTTGAGTGTATAACATATCGGTTTTATGAATTATTATTATTATTTTACTTCGTATTCGATTTTCATAATAAAAAAAGGTGGGTAAGTGGATGTCGCTCTGCTGTACTGTAGGTTACAAGTGGGTCACTGTATAATGGATGGTATTAAATTTGAATTCAATGATACAATATCATTGTATAAGAAAAACGATTCTGAGCGAAGACG